TTCCAAGAAACTGACACCAGTTAATAATCTCTAACTTTCACTGTGAACATGATCATTTGTCATATTTTTTTGAAAAACAACCTCATAAAATTTGGGGGTAAAAGTAGGGGGCAGAAATCATTGGGTCACCTTGGGACCAGCAGTTAATGTCTATGTCGCTGGACTCCCATGTAGTCGACCCTGGTTCGAGTCCCCAACCTGGTGGCTTAAACTCATGCTGGGCACGTGTGCGTGCATACCCAAGATCCTGAGAGGAGAATGGAGGAGAAGGGATTGTGGCATGGCCATTCCCCCTAGGGGTTGATTTCTCACTTTCTGTCTCTCTGTCTCTCTCTGTCTTTCTGGTGAGAGCACGCACCCTATAGCAAAAACCTCTCAAAAAAAAGAGAAGAAAAGAAATCATTGGGTAGTCTTTCAGAAGCCTCAATCCAAGGCAGTTAAAGAGCAAGTTTGATTGCAATTCCATCTTTTAATTATTGCCTTAGGCATAATGTCTCAAAAAAATCTCACTTTAGAACTGCTAAACCTATTCAAAGAGTAACACATTAGTTTGTCATTAAATGACAATGTGTTAGCCATATAATGTTGCTCTGTCCAGGACTCTTTTTAGGTATTATGATCCTTGGAAGCCCTGGGTTAATAGAAAACACGTGGCAACTCATAAAGAACACAGCTTTGTGAATATCACATTGCCTACCCACGTGGGAGGGCTAAGGCTGAAGTGGCCTACTTCAGCCTTGCACATGGAGGCACTTTGGATCACAATAGATATGTCACAGAACTCTGCTGCCCTGGTGGTTTGCAAAGCACCTTTTACTTCCTACTGGCTCCCTAACTATCTATAGCCTGACAAGTAACCAAGAGTGTTCTCAGTAGTAAGCAAGGAATATCTCACATACCCAGCCTTGGAGGTCTCTTTTATCTCCTCTATTTCCTCCATACCTTATAACAAAATCCTCCAATGAGCACTGAAAAAATCCCAGAGGAACCTGAATTTTACTTGACATCTTGGCACCGGGAATATGAGTAGGCTATTCCCTCACATCCACCATCCGTCTCAGAATGGATAACACGTTTCCGAATATCAGCGAGAGGAGCGGTAAAGCTAACATAGTCTAAGGGTCAAAGGGAAGGCAGCCTTGAGCACTAAGGAAATTCCGGCCGTAATAATGCACATCTAATCATGGGACGGGAAATGGACGACTGTAGTTCCCTGATGCTTAGGCAGAGAATCTAAGATAATACCCTTCCATTCTTACTGCAAGCCCTTCAGTAAATTATCTCCCAGGCAAACAAGGTGTCTGCTGGTGCGTAGAGAGCCACCATGAGATTAGAATGCTGCATAAATACAGTTTTAATTACAACAGAGAAAGTTACAGAGTGCATGTGCGTCACACAGCTTTCTGAGGGTAAATAGAATGCGGGGCCTTGAGAAAAGCAAAGGGCCAACATGAATGAGCTGAGCAGTTACCAGGGAAGTCAGAACAAGAGGGAAGAGTATCCCCTACCCCCTCTCTCCCCACGTAGACATTTCCTACTGAAAACAAAGATTTTGTTTAATGATTTCCCCCTAGAACTTTTTAAAGTGTACTATTATTTCTTTCATGAGAGACAAAGACAGAGAGTAAGACAAGCACTCTCAACAGGCTCTCACGCCCCTTGCATGACTGCCTCAGCCTTCTCAGCCAGCGAGGGGTGCGCTCTGGACCCTGGGTGTTCAGGTCGACTGGAAAAGCAAACCGTGATCTTCCATGTGGCTCCAGCATCTCTTCAGCAGGTCATGACCGCTGCACCACTGAGCTGGCCCTCTGCAGGCTGTTATTAGGCGTTCTCTTCAGTCTTGCTTACTCCTCTTGTGAAACTGAGACACAGACTTGATGTCTGTTTTCCTCAGATATTTCCTTACGTGCGCCTTTCATTTTGGGACAGGAGATCGAAGAGAGAGAATTCTAACGTTTGCGCTTCTAAATACCAACAGTCATTTAGAACTATGCCTCCCTTACCACTTACTGTGGACTACCATGCAATGAAATTTCCATTTATTTACAGGATGTGAAGAAATGTAGAAGTAGTCATTCCCATTGTAGCTTTTAAAAAGAGGTTTTCTTTAATCTTGTCCCGAATGATTACAGTTTGCATTTTTAGGTGATGTCCCTGTGCCTGTCTGCAGCGGAGACGGAGCATTTTATGAACTTTCTATCTTCTTGTTTCAGTAGGGTCCTCATGGTTGTGACTATGTCTCCACAGCCAAAGCAAAGCAGCGGCTTAAGGTAACTACCTACGTCACAAGGGGAAACTGCTCCACTTTGCTTTCACTGTGGAGCCTTGTCCTCCAAGCAGATGAGGAAAATTGGGATCCAGAAGTGAAAGTTTAGCTGTGCTGTTTTGTTTTTCAGTGAGTTACTAAAACAGTCTCTTTGCTTTTTTTTTTTGGTCTTTGTTTCCCTCCCCCACCCCGTAATACTTTATATAAATAGCAATGTAGAGCTTGCTTTGGGTGAGGGGAGGACAGTAACCTAGTAATTTTGATTTTTTTTTCTTAGTGTATCCCATGCCTCAGGGTGCTCCCTCATTGGGCTCCCTGTTAAACTATCTGGCAGTATGTAACTGGGCTTAGCTTCTGAATGCAATATCATTTGGTGTTTGCTTCCAATTATTTAAGATAATATGATTATTGAATAAAAATGAAGCCCCATATACTTTTGCAATGCTTCCATTCTACTCTGATTACACAGATTGTCTTTGTGGTTTAGCACATATTGGAATCTCATGAACCCCTGCCAAAGTTCTGCTTCTGACACCATGTGTAACCTCCAGATGTATTGGTAGTGTTTTAACTAACAGGTGTGGTTTATTACTACAGTATAATAAAGGTTAAAGAGGATAAAAATGGAACGGGACTTGAATTTAGTCCTGAGGTTGCACTGACTCACTTTTAGCTGTTTTTTGTTTGTTTGTGTTTTTTGTTTTGTTTTTTTCTTAATGGCCAGAAGGTGTATGTGCTCACCAGAGGAAGAGAGAGAGGGAGGGGGGAAGAGAGGGAGAGAGAGAGAGAGGTGAGAGAGGGAGAGAGAACCTTCAATGTGATGTGGTTACACCATAGTCCCTTCTCCTCCATTTCTTCACCCTGTTGACATTTGGACATGCACACACACATGCACTCAGCATGTTTTTCAAGCAATGTGGATCTAGATTTCTTAACCACCAGGCCAGCAGGCCAATCCATGTCCCTCGTTTTCAGTTTTAAAATGTTAATACTATGATCTAGGAAGAACAACTTACCTGAAAACATCTTGTCCATTAAACATAAGTACAAAATAATTTTTAGAGTAACACATCTTGTAAATTCTGTTTCAATCAAGTTGAACACATTTTGAAACTACAGTATGCAGATTATTTTAGATTTCTAAAGAGTACAGTTCAATGCATTGATTTGCCCAGCATTTCTTCCTTCATTTATGTACCACGTCCTCAAGTTTGCCACATGAGAGAACCACTAGAAATCTTGAGGATACTTTTCCTCTGGAAGGTCTGTTCTATGTAAAGATTATACTTAAGGATGTAAATATTAGTTATACACGTCAATTCTGATTATTCACTAATTCCATTGTTATACTGATTCATAGTTGACCAATAGAAGAAAGAGATGAATTTCTAAAAAAACCACTTGAGTCAGGTGGTAAACTTTCCTTGGACAAAGACATTGCATGAAGACTTAGGAAGCCAGTGACTATTACATGATTGTGAAACTGAAGTCTATGGAGCTAATCTGGCTTGGACAGTCTTGACCCCATTCACCACAAGGTTGATTGCACTGATACTGCTGGTTGGTGTTAAACTTGTCTTTTCATTATTTGAGTATCACCCCAGTTAAAGAAGATGTTACCCTGACAAGTTATCTTTTTTTAACATAGTCTGAGTATGTGTGTACTTTTTGCTAAATAGACATACCTCTCCTCCTAATTTTTTAGTCTTCATAAGTATCTTTGAAAAGGTCATTTGGATTGAACTAGAGAATGAGAAACAGAGTTCTCTGAAAACCCTAGTCATGATTCTTTATATTTTTTATGTGAATTTCTATCATGCGTTTTATAGGAGAGATTTGCAGTGGAGTTGGCCTGCTACTTTTTTGGGGAGACAGTTCAAATTCTCCTTCTGGGGGCCAAAGACTATGCAGAATTCTCTTTTCTGCTTTCCCTCTTTCCCCAGAGAAGATCAGAGGAAGGGAAGATATAGTGCCAAGTTTTGTGGGTGGCATCCCCATTTTTATTTTTTATTTTTCTTTCTATCTGAGTACAGACATAGATGACAACACTAGCATTGTCCTAGGTTAAAAGGACTAATAGCAAGGACATGTTTTCTGTATTTTAAAGATCTTTAAATGCCCAAAGAAGCAGTTGGAGGTGAACTGTATCAGTAGGTACTTTTCTGATCTGGGAACAATTAGAGGGGCTTTCAGTGGGTGTAGCCCCTTTCAGAATCATCTATCCTTCTACCTTGAACTCAGGAAGTTCCAGGAGAGTGCTAACAGCTTCCTGGACAGTGGTAAGGTGGGTTTAGAAGGCTTTCTTAAACCCTCAAACTGAAATACCTAGAGGCCACAGTGCCAAGCTCCTCATTCTTCCTCCTTCTGGAGGTTGTAGTCTCGGTGTGTGACCCTGATTCACTCTCGCGGTACTGCCTGGGAGAAGCTCAGCCCGCTAGCCCTCCTGGCGTTTCCTAGGGAATCTTGCCAAGCTATCATCACTCCTGAGTTTCAGTACTCAACTCTGTGCCCAGTTTTCAGTTTTCCCTGCCTCATTTCAAAGACCTTTCTACGGCAGGAGCTCACTCCAGTCGTCTTTGCTCCTCTGTCCAGTGCCTCACCTCCATCCTTATTCCCACTGTTTAGATCACCTTCAGACCCTGCTGGATTTGAGCAAAGCTAGAAGTGGCCACTCTCATTGGGCCTTGTTTGGTGTTAAATGTCATTCTCTCTGAAGGAAGATTACCTTTCCTACCTGCTTTGGTTAGATGATTTCCTTTCACTTGTTTATTTATCACTTCAAGATGCCTCTGTCATATCTTCCTCCCACAAAAGGCTGAAATAAAGATGGCAAATTTTGTTGTAACCATGTAGATCCCCGAAGTTTCCCCATAACCAGAGGCTAGGGAGGGAGGTGTTGATGTTCTTAAAATGCTTCCATCCAGGACCAGAAGTTAGCATAATGGCTATGTTGCTGGATTCCCATGTAGTCAACCGCGGTTCGAGTCCTGGACCCAGTGGCTTAAACTCATGCTGGGTGCGTGTGCGTGCGTGCCCAAGATCCTGAGAGGAGAAAGGACTGTGGTGTGTCCGTCCCCCTGGGGGATGATTTCTTGCTTTCTGTCTCTCTGTCTCTCTCTGTCTTTCTGGAGAGTGCACACGCCCTGTAGCAAAAACCTCTCCAAAAAACAAAAAAATACAAAAAATGCTTTCATCTAGTGTGTGCTGCCTGGCTAGCCTGTCAAATACATCAAAGCTTCCTTTTCATTTTATTTGCTATTTTATACTCAATGTCTCCAAACTTATTTACTCTATTACAACCATTTCTCCAGAACAGCCCAGTACTTTCTAAACTTTCTAGGTATGGGAGCTGTTAATGTTTTATTTTCAGACATGTTTTTATTCCCGGCTTTACTTAAAGGGAAGGCCTTTCAAATCAAGATACATCTTTGATTAAAATGCATTTGGTGTGCCATTTTAAAAGGGAAGTTCTGCCATATTTTCAGAGAATAATTCTTAGAGCTTTTTGGTAACAGAGTAAACAACCTAACATCACAGTTAAGCTACAGGCCCACTTTCATTACTCATTTATATGGTGCATGTATCTTGGGGTTGGATTCAGGATAAGAATCTCCAATGGACTTTTCAGAGGAGCTGTCTATTAATCTGGACATTAAAAATTAAAGTGGCTATTACGAGAAAGTGATCTCTGAGATGAGACTTGAGGAATGGGTGAATGTTGTCTAAACAAAGGAGAGAAAGGGAAGTGTCTGAGCCAGAATTCTAAAGGAAACAGCAGGCACAGAAGCCCAGAAGCATGAGAAGGAGGTGATGGGGAAATAGATATGGAGCAGGACATTATCAAAACTGTTGGAAGTACAGTCTGCAATGCAGAGGGCAAAGGGTGGAGGGGGTGATGAGAGGCCAGCGAGACAGAGAACTGCCTTATGAAAAGCTACGTGGATTATGTATGAGCGCTTTGGCTTCTCCTGAAGACAAGAAGGAGAGTCTGAAGAACTTTGGACTTGGAGAGATGTGAGTTGATTACATTTTCAATTGTTCAGGCTGCAGCATAGAGAATAAATTAAAAGGATATGAAACTGAAGGAATACCGCTCATCCATACTGGTTTGAAGGTAGATGCGCCAGGGTTGTGGCAGCTTGATCTGGAGACCCAGCTGATAAAAATTCCAGATATAACATGCAGTGCGATCACTGGGTTTGGCTTCCAATCTTGGTACATAGGCTATTTAAAATTGAAATACTGTTACATTCTTCTTTGTCCCTTAAATATTAACCAAAAAGTAACATGTGGATTTTGGCTTCTTCCTACATGTCTGCCTGGCATAGAGAAATTGGCAGGGTTTCAATAGGTCAGAATTTCCACTTGTTAAGAATGGGTTTCCTTGATGAGAATTTTACATAGAGTAAAACTGTAGGCCACTTATAGAAACCAAGTGATTGACAGGAAATGGTTTTTTTATATTTTACAACTGTAGCATTAAAAAAAAAAAAACCCTGGGTAATATCAATTGACAAGACTCAAATAAATTAATAAAAAGGCACAGACTGGGGCGCCTATCATCAAGTTTTTAGAAATGTTACCCTAAGTTCTTATTCTCCAGATGTTAGCCAGATTCTCAGTTCCAGATCTGCTTGGTGTTTTAGTACATGTTTCGTTTAGCATAGCAGGGCTATAAAAAACACAGTCCTCTGTCCCCAGTAAGCCTTACAGCCAGACCAAGGCATTTATATTAAAACTGTTCCATGGGCCAAGAATCCTCCCCAGAGTATTCCTTGGCCATTTACAAATTTCTTTACATGAGTTCATTACATATATACCCGAAAGCAGTAATTCCAGATGTGCAGTTGACTTCAGCATTTGGGGTACATGTTAACACAATTTATTTTTCTCCTATGAAGTCTGCAAGTTGTCAGTAACAGATATTAAGCACCTACTATGTGCTTGGTGCTGGTATCATGGACAAAGTATTCTGGGAATAGGGAGATAGACAAACATGTATACCAAGGGTCAGATAATTAAGGCCTGATATAATTATTTTATAATTATTTTAGGTTTTGTGAGCATACAATTTCTGTCACAACTACTTAACTTTATTGTTTTAACTACAGTAGGTAATGAATCAGCATAACTGTGTTTCAATAACACTTTCTTTACAAAAATAGAATGTGGACCAGATATTCCTGTGGGCCATACTTTGCTAACTCCTGGCAAAGATCTTTAAATGAGTAAGTTTATTTTATATACTAACACAAAAGACAGAGCAGGATAATGTGGAAGAGAGGTTCTGGCTGTGGCTGCTTTCAGTAGAGAGATTGGGAAAGACTTCCTTGCTATTGAAGAGGAAGTTGTCAATGTCATATATCCATCTTTCTCTTGGAAATACATGTAAGGCTATGAAAGTTAAGTTATAGATTATAAATGTAAAAGACAGGGACCATGTAAGATAGGCCGATGTGTACAGAGACTCAGTAATGGTTGCACTGCTGTTGAAGAGAGTTTCAGGTAATATATTTCCATAAAGCCTAACTTTCATTACTTTCCTTTAACCTCTAAATTTCCATGCCATTTGCTAAATGATGACTTTTCACTGAGTCCTGAGGAAAGGTACCATTATTCAGTATGTTTTTTGTGTACAGTGTGCTGAAGTGTATGCACAGTGTTTTAAACTACTGGGTTGTTGGAAAAGTCACGATGCATGTTTGCATAGAAAACAAAATATATCATGACTTTTCCAGTACCCAATAGTTTTTGTCCTGGTTGCCTACTTTGGCATTCTTCTGTAGTTAGCACACTATCGCTATTGGATTTTCATTTTACATGGCTCAGAAAAGTAGAAAAACAATGCAGACAGGATTCAAGAAGTGCTCTGATGGTCCTGATGGACCATGCATCAGTGCATGGTAACTTGGCTATATGGAAACCATTAAGTGAAGAAAAAGGAGGGACATACTTCTGAATCTCAAGTAGTCTATCTGCAGAGAGCTGTAGGGTTACGTGCTTTGTGTGTAGTTGTCAAATCCTAAGCCATAGGGCAAGCCAGAGAATGCAGGTTGATCAGTGATCCTGTGTAATGTGTGGTTAAAGCACGTGGGTTGATCTGCACACAATAGATACTGTCTCTTGCATATAAAGAGCTGAAACTAGAGCTAATGAAACAAAATAAGGCAGAATGAAAAATGCCATGACACAGAGCATAATTTAGACTGCAGATGGATTAAATCATTTGACAGAAATGTACTGCATACTTACCATGAGCTGGATACTCTTTTGGACACTATCAGATTTATATAGGTAGGATCAATGTGGATCAGACTTGTGTGGAAAGCTTTCAAGGAGAAGGCAGGAATTCATCAGTGTCTTGAGAAGTAGGTGCGATTTGAGTGTGGAGGAGGTAGGGTAAGCATTGCAGAGGAGCAGTCAGTGGGTCACTTTGGCTGGAGCTTAGGTAGAGAATTCAAGTAGGGAATAATGTGGGAAGGCTAGACTGGGGACAATTGTTTTGGGCTTGAATATAAAACAAAAACATGACATTTTTGTTTGAAGGAATTTGAAACTGGAGGTTATAGGGCACTTTGAAAAGTCTGTAGACAGATGGAATTGGCGTCAGCAGGTGATGTGGTATTGGGGGCGCTGGCCTTCCACGAGGCCAGCCACAATTTATGTCCTGGACCTGGTGACTTGCTTTCTCTCTCTGGTGCCTGTGAGTGCCTTACAGCAAATTAAATAATAAGAATAATAATACATCAAATAAAAATAATGATTTTTTTTTTAAAAAAAGAAAAATGGAATTAAAGTATGAGTTAATTTCAGTGCGTAGTTTTTTCACAGTATGCATTTACCTTGAACCTAAAGACTCCATCAGACTGAGGAACAGCATGATAAAACTGAAGTTTGAGTCCATTTACCTGACAGAAGTTTGTATATGGAATTGTGGGTTGAAAGAGAAGTTAAAGTCCATGCCACCAGATAGGAGGCTATTCCAGTTATGCATTTGATATGAGTATTAACTAAAAGAGGAGTAGAAGACGGCTTAGTAGTATTTTTAGGGAAGACTTGATTGGATATTAATGGAATAAAGGAAGGAGCAAAAAAAGAAACTAAAAATTTGAAAGTGATTTTTTAAATCGAAATTACTTCCCTGACTCAGAAGAAGATTTGGGGAAGAGTGGTAATGCATAGCTGAAAAGATTTCTGAGGTCAAGTGATAGCGCACTGTCATCTTGCACCTTGATCAAGTTATGTAAAATCTCTGCGACTCATCTGTAATGTGAATTATAATCATGCTAAGTTTTAGAAGGCCAATTATTCATTTGCTCAGCAGATAGTCCATGAATTCTTTTTTAGTTCCTGGGAATAGAGTGATAAGACAAGATTCTTTTTAAGTAAGCAAACACACAAGGTAATTTGGGGTTCTGACACCCATTAGAAAGAACTGCTGTGGGAGAAGAGTGGAAAATGGCAGAGGGTTAGACAGGAGGAAATCGAGAAAAAAAGAAAGAAGTAAAATAGTTAAACAGAAAATAGAAAATTATCTGTTGACTATAGTAAGTATGGTAATATCTCTGATCCGGCCAATATGCAGTGTATTCTGAATAGGGAAACTCATTTTGTATGCCGTAATGATACACAGTGAATGTAAAATAAATAAATTTCAAAAAATTTTTAAAAATGAAGGAAACATTGAATGCAATGTAGAGCCACGGGGTTCAGGAGGCTTTACTTTGGGTTAAAAGATCTGAACATGCCTTCTTCACGGAGTTGATATTAGAAGTCAAACCTAAGCAATAAGAAGGAGGCCGACTTGAGAAGAAGAAAGCCGTTTAAAGGAGACAGGAAAGGCGAATGCATAGCTTAGCTATTTGACGAGCATCGTAGCAGAATGTTTAATATTTGAACAGTCTTGCAACATGGAACCAATTTAGGCACGCATGCCCGCCTGCTGTGGCAATAGCTAGTTACCAGTTTGGAGGCAGAAATCCCAGCAGATGTTAAAGGGATGCCTGACCTCCAGTGGTTCTGTGGCTTCCCAGCTTTTTTCTCATACCGTGGAGGGTGTGAAAAGTATGTGCGTGCTCATTTATCCTGTGAAACGCATTCCTGTTTCTCTACGTGGGACTACGGAAAACATTCTGAGAAGGCAGTTTCTGTGAAAGAGAAGCAGTCTGTTTATTTATTTATTTTCGTAAATGAGGAGGATTGAAAACGGAGGGGAACAAGCGTGTTCTGTTGAGAGGGATGACTTGCATATTTTAGTTTGGTCCGTCCTAGTGTGAAACAATCATGCCATTAAGCATTATCTTCCCCCCCCCCTTCTCTGGGGAAAAAAAAAATCTAGAATAAAGGGAATACTTTAATTCTGTGATGTGGGTTGAAATTCGATCTCCTCGCCTACAAGAAAACTCTGGAAAAGCGTTCTGAAATGGTCTTCATGGACCCCAGTCAGCCTTTTCACCTGGTGCCCTTCACTCTAGTTTTGAATAAAACAGGGGAGACAAGAGACTGCAGTGAGAATTTGGGGACCATGCCTACCACTACACCTATATTTGGGGTCTCCCTGTCTTGCTCTAGCCATGTTGGAGTCTTGCTTGATTATAGCAAACCAAACCGGAAGTGGAGGGCTGCAGGATACATTTGTCCTTTGACAGAGGAGAGGTACTCTCCTTTGCCACCCGCACCCCTAATACACACAGGAGCCATCCTGTGGTCCACACTCTAATGTCACCAAGCAACCAAGAGCTGATTGCTCTGTATTCTGAGCTACTCACTGAGGTAGAGTGGTGGAGGGGTGGGTCTCCTAGAAGGCCCTTCAGAGCTAGGCCTGGTGAGAGCTAGACGAAGAGAAACTCAAGGACATTGTGGTGGTTGTCACAGGTCCCAGCCCTGCTGTTGCTGCAGGTCATGTGTAAGTACAGCTGTCGGGTAAGACTGATCAGAATTTTTCACTCGCAAGTTTAATTAAAATTTCTAGCAGGCATCATCTATCATGTCTTTTTTGCAACGTTTTCTTCACAGAGAGAAAAAGCTCAACGCTCATTACCTCTGGCATGATTGTAGTGCCTTGGTTTCTGCAGGGAGAGACCGGTAACCCTTTCTTGGATGTTCTTCAGGAACCTTAATGAAAGCACATCCAACTGCTTGCCTCTGCTTTGAATTAATGATATGTAATAAACTCCCTGAGGTTTAGTATTTAACTGAAGGTAATATAGTACAAAGTCCCAAAATACAATATTAAGATTTTTTTTTTCTTCTACGCAGAAAGCATGTGCACTTATGAGAAAGATACAGAGAGGCGGGAGAGGAAGAAAGCATCTCCCAGTGGGGAGTGGTCATACTGCACCTCCTTCTCCTCCATTTTTCTATCCTGTTGGGATTTGGGGCATGTACACATGTTCCCGGTGTATTTTTCAAGCTGCCAGAGCCAGGATTCAAACCACAGTTGGCCATGTGGGATCTTACTCCCTTAACCACTTGGCTGAGGGACTGGGCCAGTAAATATTTTTTTAAAATAATGTAGCAAAGTAGTTTCCCCTCAGGACATCTAGGTCTATAGGTCTCTTGCTTGTAGAAATAGGAATAGGCTCATTTTGGTATTCAGAAAGCACAGCAGGACAGGAGCTTTCTCTACCAATGGCCAGGGTGCACTGGCCCAAGCAAACATCAGGCTTTAGATCGAATGAGTACACCAGTTGTCCTGTACCCTAATCACTTAGGTCCTATGGAGCACATATTATGTTTTGGATCAATCACTTCTCAGTCTGCTTTGCTGATAAATTGTTTCAGCATGATACTTTCATGTTAATTTCTTTGTTTTAATTTTTTTTTTCATAGTGTGCATGTGCTCTCTGAAGACAGTGAGAGAGAACATGAGAAATCACCCCCTACGGGGCAATGGACACTCCTCAGTCCCTTTTTCTCCCTGGACCTTGGGCATACACGCCCATGCACCCAGTGTGATTTTCAAGGTGCTGAGTCTGGGAGTCGGTCATGTGGGAGGGTAGCACCTTAACCACCACGCTACTTGCTGGCCCTTCAGCATAATATAAAGAAAAAAAAATGCATATTTTGGAATGGACTATAAGCTGGAGCCCTGGTTCTGGTGAGTACATGCACTCTCTGGAAAACGTGTCTCTGGTTTTAAATCTGTATTCCTAAGTTAGTCATTTGCAGATGATTTGCATGTTGTGACATGGCCAGAGAAGGCTCCAGTGAACCCGGCACAGGAAAAATCCTATGGTTAGATTGCAAAGGCATCCTCATTTTTAGAGGAAAAAACAAAAAACAAAAAACATAGGAAACTCCAAAATTCCTCTATTACACTTCAAATTCTCCATCTCAGGGACACTGACTGACGAGGACAGGTTGTTTGACATTGAAGCTCAACCTACTCTGTGGATCACGGTCCCACATGTCACATCATTGCTGAGGGAAGAAGCAAACACACACACAGATCACAGAATTCAGAAAGTACATCCTACAGCCTACCTGGACTAAGCAGGTCCACGGCACAAAGCCTTCGGAGTCCTACCACCTCCTCTTTCACTCTTCCTCCTGGGTGAAGGGGTAGTCTGTCCTCTCTCACATTCCTGCCCTGCTCCCGGACTCACTCTGACATAGCATCCTCATTGGAAATGAGTTTTTCTTACTCCTGACACATTCTCATTGTATCAGAACTGTGCTTAAGCAGGAAGTGCCAGATGGCACTGAATCACCAGCTGCTTAATATTCGAAAACAATATTATATACAGAACGATGTACGTGTTGATTAAAGGACTTTGCTGATGTCTCGAGACTCGGAGAATGCCCCCGTCACCTCCACAGCTGTGCCTTGACGATTCATGTATAGATTCCGAGCTTCTTTAGGGATTCTTGGCTGAGAGCGTCTCCATCTTTACTTCTGTTACTGTATCTGCAGTGCTTGAGTGTTCTGCTCTAAACTCTGCTGTTGGAAGTATGGATGGTACACTGCCCTCATGGAAGGGCTGCTAGAAAACCTTCCTCATGCCCCTCCTTAGAGTGATGAGTCTACAGGAATGTACGTGACCAAAAGCCTGTGGACATACATGACTTTAGTTTTCTGGGGGAATGGCATTGTGATTCTAGAAGATGTCAACATTTTAGCACATTCAGGAATTGTTGTCGTGGTGATCTGCCCTATGAATAATGCATAGTGACCTGACACTGATTCTGAACATGCAGGAGTGTAGTACAAACAAGGCCGTCTTGGTAAGTACCCTAGGTACTTGTTGTTTTTTACAGGGATCTTTGGTTAAAAACAAACCAAAACAAAAAATGACTCTCTCGTTATCTCTTTTCGAAGACAGAGTCTGCTTCTGTGGCAGCCACCTCAGAAATGCTTGCAAGGTTCCTAATTATATCTCTTATTGTGTACAAATAATTATAAAACTTGTCAGAAAGAAAACTTTCATTTTTGAAACCAGATCTACCTTTACATGAGATGAGTTAAAACAAAAGACAAAAACAACTCTGAGAAGAAACTAGTCGAGATGTCCACCATCTATCCTTATTATTTCTAAAATACTTGGCCAGATCGAAACACTGGTAGACATTACAAGAATGACTAGAAGCAGATTTCTCAAGACTAGCCCACAGACCAGCCACGTAGCTCATTGCTTGATAACTCATCCCATGTCCACTCATCTACCTATTTATTAGCAAATGGGTTTTTACCCACTTGTTTATGCAGCAAGAAGTTGTTGCTTATTTTCTATAGGTAAAGATTGGTATTAAACCTAGTAATTTTATATTATCATTATTATTTTTAGAGTGGTTTTTGTTATAGGGCATGTGCTCTTGCCAGAGAGATAGAAACAGAAAGTGAAAAATCAGCCCCCCTCCCCAGGGGGATGGCCATGCCACAGTCCATTCACCTCTGTTCTCCTCTGGGGATTTTGGTCACACACACACATGTGCCTGGTGTAAGATTTTTAAGCCTCTGGGTCCAGGACTCAAACCACAGTTGACTACATGGGAGTCCAGTTATGTAACCATTATGCCATCTGCTGGTCCCAGGATTTGTATTAATAAATTACTTCTCAAGACATTTCTTGAACATTTTGTTGAGGTTCTAGAAGATATTCCATAAGGGAGGACAGAAATGATTCTAACTATCGCCATTAACTTCTGTGAATTTTAGCCTTGCATGGAGATAGTGGAAACAGACAAAAATAGATTTTTGTCTCTGTCCTTAAAATCACAGATGTATCAGAAATGGAGTGGACAGAAATACCTGGGTCGTTGTCAACGTGGTCATCCAAAGTTGCATCTCCTTCATCGCCAGACATCACCTCATGGCTTCTCTAGAGCTATTGGGTATTTTCAGTTTTATCCTAGAACAATTTGTCAAAAAGAAGTGAGAACAGCTTCTTCAACTACTCAAGATCTTTCTGTCTATCATCGTCACTGCCCTCTAGATTCTCAACAATGGCTGCATTCTAGAATGACCCATAGAGCTTGAAGAAAATTACCTGCCATGAGAAACTCTGACGTCCTTAGTCTGGGATGAGGTCTGATAATCCATGTTTTAATGAGTATGTCAGTAATTACTTCTGTTGTCCCCTTTCTTTCTTCTTTCTTTCTTTCTTTCTTTCTTTCTTTCTTTCTTTCTTTCTTTCTTTCTTTCTTTCTTTCTTTCTTTCTCTCTTTCTTTCTTTCTTTCAGAGTTCTTTGCCTTAGGATGTTTATGCTTGCTGGAGAGAGACAGAGAGAGACAGAGATGGTGAGGAGGAATGTGAGAAATCCCCTCCCTGGGGGTTTTGCCCATGCTGCAGTCCCTTCTCTTCCATTCTTCTTGGATCTTGGACATGCGCACACACATACCCGCTGTGATTTTCAAGCCACTGGGCCCAGGTCTCAAACTGCAGTCAGCCATGTGGGAGTCCAGCGATTTAACCACTATGTCATCTGCTGGCTCCCAGAATTCTTTTTCTTTACCACCATGAGAAGGGTATGAGTTATTCTCACAACTGATGTTTTTTGGGCACTTGTGTATGTTTGGTAAGGGAGACTAGAAGGGACAATAGTAAGATAAATTCCTTCTTTCCAAAAGCTCATTACAGTGTGTGATTTTGGCCAAATTACTCACTGTCTCTGATCCGTGGCAACCAAACTGCCCTTCCTCATAAGACTGTGGAAAGTGTTAAATGAGACCAAGTGCTCTATAGAAAGTAACTTTTACTTTTTCATCCTATATCCACCATCATAATCAAATATCTCATGTACATAATGTATATAATTCTATATAATATATGAATTTTTGTGTATATGCATAATTATATGTTCATGATCAGTGTGTATATACATGTATTCGTAATACACACATTTGTTACCGCACATAAAGCATTGTTAGTCTCACACACAGAGACAGTCTGAAGTGAAAAGTAGTTTTATTCTGAAGACAAAAGCATTCTAATAGTTTTCAGACCAGTAAAATAAATGTGAGGTAATGGTGATAAATGTTGGGGGGGAACATGTTTACTTCTTTTGTTCCAATAGAATTTAAATAATGCAGCACTAAATTTTTGTTCAAGGACAAACCCACGCACTTATGTGCTGCTGCCACCTGGTGTCTGAGTTCAACAGCTGCAACTTCGCTGTGGGTTTCCTGGACAGGCGTTCAGGAGTGGAAAACAGCCTGGTCCCTGGTTAGTCCCTTTGAAACAGATGCTGAATGACATCGGGATCTCTCAGTGAAATGTGTTATTCCTCTTCGTTAAGAGTATTATAGTGTAGAGTAGCTGGGCGGCTAGTGGCTAGTGTGGAATGGTTTAGTGGCTTCTTGTGGATCACGTGGCTGGCCTGTCTTTAAGGCCGTGCCTCTGCGGCAGGGAACGGTATAGATTTTAGCTCTCTCTTTCAGCAGGGCACTGCTGCTCGACAAGAAAAGGGAGACAGCCACATCTGCTCTGCTTTCCTCATTATTCTCACAGTGACATGATTGTGCGAGTCTCACATGTTCCCTCACCTTGTGGTAGTAAAAGCAACACTTCAGAGAATGCCCAAGTGACGGGAGAAGCAACGAATTGTGGTTGAGACTGGGAAAATGATTACACTGGGTTTTTTTCCTTTCCATTTTACAAGAAAGGTTGCAGAATGGTTTCATGCGAGCAGTCATACGATACAGTATGGAACAGGGTTTCTCAAACTCAGCACTGTTTACAAATTGGATGAGTTATTTTCTTTTGGAGGGAGGGGTTAGGGCTGTTCTATGTATTAGAAGAATTCTGTAGTACCCTTGGCCTTTACTCAGTAGATGCCAGTGTAGCCGCCTCTGCCCCATTTGTGAGAACCTAAAATAATTCTGGAAATTGCCAAGTGTCTCATGGGATAAGAACCATTGTTTTATATATATATATATACATATATATATATGTATGTATATATGTGCTACAGTAATTACTACATATGAATAAGTGATTTTATATTGTAAAATTAGTCTAGGGTTTGTACTCCTTGAGAATCGAGCTTTTATGCTGCCTAGTGAGATGCCAGAAAACCGAACCGATCCAGTCATTCACTTATGCCCTCATTCATGTACTTGAGAGAAGCGGTATTATATAATTACAAGTAGTTTAAATTTGAATCCCAGCTCAGCTACGGTTTGGGATTAAATATATCAATATTTCCAAGTCACATTTCAGCTGTAAACTAGAGATAGTGATTGTAACTACTTCATGAAACCAGTGTGAAAATAAAATGAGTTTTGCATTCAATGTCCTTAGCACAATGCCTACTAATTAGTAATTGCTGAGTAAGTATTGGTTATTGTTTTACTGGTTACATGTTTGGTATGTTAAATATCGGCTATGTGCCAGAGGCTGTGGCCAGTCACTAGGGAAATGGTGGGAGTTTATCTGTGACTTTTTTTCCAATTTGCTGGAGGACTTGCCAGAGAGAGAGAAAGAAAGCACTCCCCAGGGGAGAAGGCCGTGTCAAAATACACTAAAATCTTAGTGGAAAAAATTGAAATAACAATATATATATATATATATATATACACACACACACATACACACACACATATGTAATTTTTATCATTATTGAAATAGAGTAAAAAGCACAGAGTCCTTTTTTACTGGGATTGACACTAACTTGACACAGATGCTTTTTAGGGGATCAACTTATAGCCAATAGTTAACCTGCTGAAACAGAGAAAGTTCAATGTCCTGGGGGGTATGATGGCCCTACATTAAAAAAATATATGTTGGACTTTATACATTCTTTGAAATTACTGAACAGAAAAGCATTATTTTTCACCTGTGAATTCTGACCAAGTTATGAAATAAGCACTTTGGCCCAACCGCAGCGGTGTGGTGGTGCGTGCTGGAAGCCACATGGATGACAAGAGTTCATCTCTTGGGTCAACCTGTCCATGTTGGGAGCACGCACATGTGCCTGTGATCCCAACCAGCTAGCATGGTTCGAGAAGGATCACTGCATGAGAGTACGTGTCTTTGTCTTGCTATCTCTTATGAAAGAAAGAAACTTAGTAAATAAGGGACACTTTCGATTGAGCACATTAATGATGACAAGGCCTTTCCTAACTTGGCATGACATGAAGGCATGCTCTCAAGAGATGAAACGTTTAGTGAGACAGTTTCCTACTATGTTTCATGTTTTCTCTTCTGTCAGACAGGTTAAGTACACCCTACCCACTCCGTGTGCTATAAATCATGTCAGAGAGGATGGCCTGAGTCCCATGTATAAGTCAGTGGTGTATTCTTTTCTTTATTGAGAGGTTTTTGCTATAGGTCGCGTGCGTTCGCCAGAAAGATAGAGAGAGAGACAGAGAGACAGAAAGCGAGAAGTCACCCCCAGGGGGGATGGCCATGCCGCAATCCCTTCTCCTTCATTCTCCTCTCCAGATCTTGGGCATGCACGCACATGCATCTGGTGTGAGTAAGCCACCAGATCCAGGACTCAAACTGCTGGCAACTACATAGGAGTCTGGCAACATAGCCATTACACCAACTGCTAGTCCTGTCAGTGGTGCATTCTGGGAAGTAAATCTGGTGGGAGATGCGAAGGAAGTTGTTGGAATACTGTGAGGAATACTTGAGCACCGCCGAGCCAGTCGACCTTTAGCCTGGACCACTCCAAACTGGCCCTGCCATGTTTGCTCGTGTGTCCTTTCTATCTAGTCACCACCGTGCAGCTAGAACAAACTTATAAATATGTTGTTTCCCTCCTCACAGTCCCAAAGGGCATTGCATTGAATATAGGGACAAGAGCCCCTTCGTGGTGCTACGAGGGTCCTGCCCAGCTCTCAGGCCCGAGCGATGGCGTCATGCCCTTCGTTCGCTTCACCTTTATCACCACATGCACTTCTGCTGGATCTTCAGTGCACCCGGAGTGCCTCACATTCGGGTCTGAGCCCACTCCGCTCCCGGGGCAGGAACGTTCTTTGCACCTGCTGCTGCCTCTGACTTCCTTGTCAGGTTAGCATGGACTCTCCTTCCAGGTTCAGCACTAAGGAGTCCTTCTCCAGGCAGCCTACTTGGGCTTCCGTGCGCTCTGTGTTCCTTAGACCCATTGGGGTTCCTTTAGTGCATGAACATAAAACTGCAGCCTGTGTCATGACCACCATGCACCGTGAGGTCCAGAGACCAGTTACTGAGGCTGTTGGTGCAGCCACTTGGAGCTCGCGTTGACCACACAGGGCCCCCTCTGCCTTCTCCCTGCTGTCCTTAGAGCAATCACCTCGTTCCATTTCTTCCCTCAGAGTCCCAATACGGCTGCTCATGCCGGAGTCGAAGTGAGTGAGTTTAAGGCAGGAAGCAGTAGGAGTGGTGGTGTCACGGCTTCTTTCCAAACATCTAACCGTGCTGGCCTGTAGAGTTCTGTAGCCACACCCACTGCAAGGAAAGCTACGACAGTTTGTTTTTAGATTTCCTTTTCTCTAGAGTAAAAGCCAAAAGGAAGAGGGAGATTGAGAGCGGCCACCGAGTCCGTGAGCCCAGATGGACTTTTCCACCAGGTTTTCTGATCCCTTGGCTACCTGGACTGGCCCTGAATGGCAGTCGTCACATCTGCATTCACTGGCTTCACTTCTGCTCCCTCATAGACTTCGAAGCTGCGTAAACAGAAGGAGGTGTGAGAGTCACTCCACAGAGTTCGCCTGCAGTTCATATATTATCTGTCGCGTTGTAGTTGCTTAGTAAACATGAGTAAAAAGCACAAAGAGCCTAGTGTTGGCAATATGGATGATAAAATATAGGGTAAGATGCCTTGCTTACAGTTAGTATTTATAAGGGAACTTTGAAAAACTGGAGGAAAAATGGAATCAAAGTCTAAGTTTATTTTGATACAAAAAACAATTGAAATTCAGGCAGAGCTTTCTCATGATATACATTTTCCACAAACTTTGGGAACAGCTCTCGTATCTTTTTTCTTGTTCCTTCTACATAATGTAAGACAGAGAATTAGAATAAAGGAGAATTTCTAAAAATTACATGAGTGATTCAAAGGAAAAACAAATAAC